GTAACCGTGACACACAGGAACATGGTCCTTACGTAACGACATACCTGGTAGTATCAAGGTAACCGTGACACACAGGAACATGGTCCTTACGTAACGACCTACCTGGTAGTATCAAGGTAACCGTGACACACAGGAACATGGTCCTTACGTAACGACCTACCTGGTAGTATCAAGGTAACCGTGACACACAGGAACATGGTCCTTAAATAACGACATACCTGATTACAAGTTAACTCCTTCAGCTTGATGACAAGATTCATGTCTTTTTCTGATTCTCCATAATCGTCAGAGTAAAATATCTGAAATGTTAGAGGTAAATACATTACATTTGACCTCCTGACTTTGCTCCTGGTCCATGTAACAAAATCCTTCCATCTTAAGTTCTTACGGATAAAGTGTTGCCAGGGTTAATATAAAGCTGGGTTATTTAAAAGGACAGTTCTTAAATAGACCAAACTAGATATACTGAGAATCAAAGCTTGTAGTGGCTCTGTTCATAGTGGTCCAGAACATGTCATAAGTAGTATGTATCGTAGAAGAGATAAATAAGGGTTACATTTCGTTATCTACTGTAGGAGAAATAAGTAAGGGTACCATTTCTATATCTATTGTAGGAGAGATAAGTAAGGGTAACATTTACTTTATCTATTGTAGGAGAGATAAATAAGGGTAACATTTCTTTATGTATTGTAGGAGAAATAAATAAGGGTAACATTTCTTTATATCTCATCTACCTCTACTTCAGCTATACATTCAAAGCAGTTGTTCAGTACAAAACAGTACAGGTTTATCTTTCTAATTACAAACCGTTAGGTCTGGAGTATTTTGTAATAAGGAATGTTTATTGTGATACAGAATTTGTTGGTTCACCTCATTGCCAATAGTACCTAGAATTGTTTTGCTGTTAAGCTTTGTTTCCTAATGTAAATATGGTTATTGAACCAGACAGTTTAACCACACAGTTGATAAATATACCGAGACTAGACTCACTTTGGCTTGAGTCAGTGTCCTTACCTTAAAATTGGTGATTCCTCCGTTGACCGAAGCGTCCACTACACCGTTAAGTAACATGCCCAGACTGGACGCACTCTGGGTGGGGTCGGTCGTGTGTTGCTCTATGAGGAGGTTGATCTTTTTGTTGGTGGCATCAAGTGTCTCTATAGCATTCTCTAGAGGGCTCACCTGGTACTGTTACCATAGAAACACATAGTACTGTTACCATAGAAACACATAGTACTGTTACCATAGAAACACCCATCAGATATCTAGTACCACAGGGTTCTATATAAAACTTATTGTTCATAAAAAAAAGTAAAAATATTCTAAATGCCCTTCATTTTTAAAAGCCAAAAATATATTTTTAACACATACCATGGTTGTCGTGACAACAGGAAACCAACACAATATCCCTGGCAGTGAGTGAGACGATACCATTGTTGTCCTCTCTAGCCACATTTTCTGTAAGACAAGTCGAGATTTATCTCAGTACTGGGAAACAACAGCAAAGTAAAAAAGTGTACGAGAATTTTATTTTGGAGAAGTAACAGTATGGCTACAGAACTTGTAAATCAATGTTTTCTTACTGTGATATCGCTGTTACTCTCATCCATCCTCCGTGAGTACATGAACTTAGTCACTTCATTTACGTTGTAATACCTGAAAAAGTATATTGAAACTATGAAATACTAAATGAAAACGGAGGTACTTCCCCTAATGTGTAAACATTAACATGACAACAAAGTTAACTCCCTTAGGTGTAAACAGTAACATACCAACAAAGTTACCTCCCCTTAGGTGTAAAACAGGTAGTAGAGTACAGTAGCGTAGGTGGCCATGGGTGATATTTTTATACAATGAATAACCCCTGTAATATAACATGTATCAAAATAAAAAAATAAAAAATCAGCACTAAAATTGGCATATACATGATGAAGTGGACTATGTGGGCTTCATAATTTTTCAAAAAAAAAAATTGAATTTGGTTTGAGACTACAATTTTGGGCATTTACAAATCTGTGTCTACACAACAAAAGCTAGCTGTTCATGTAGTCTATTTTTGTACTCAGCAGATGTGTAAATATTGTGAAAAATCCACCGAAATGACCTATGCTAAAACGTGAGTATTTCTGTTACCGAGTAGGCGATATTTAATTTCAGACAGGTTTTAAGAAAAACAATTCTACTTGCGAGGGTCAAATTCTGGGTTAAAAATCATGATTTTTTGCATATTTGGGTGTTTTTTGATGTGGTAACCATGGTTTTCAGAGGTCCCAAATCTTGGGAAATCACTTTTTGAAAAAAAAAATGTTCTTCTAAAAAACACCTATTCAAAATATAGTTTATAAATATATATGTATATGTAGGTGTGTCGGCAGGATGAATCCGCTATCCATGTTTATCCGAGACATGCCCTTTATTTTTAGGGTCAAGCCATTTCTACTGTACTCTGCCACCACAGTAACATAACAACAAAGTTACCTCCCCTTAGGTATAAACAGTAACATAACAACAAAGTTACCTCCCCTTAGGTATAAACAGTAACATAACAACAAAGTTACTTCCCCTAAGGTGTAAACAGTAACATAACAACAAAGTTACCTCCCTTAGGTGTAAACAGTAACATAACAATAAAGTTACCTCCCCTTAGGTATAAACAGTAACATAACAACAAAGTTACCTCCCCTTAGGTATAAACAGTAACATAACAACAAAGTTACCTCCCCTTAGGTGTAAACAGTAACATAACAACAAAGTTACCTCCCCTTAAGTATAAACAGTAACATAACAACAAAGTTACCTCCCCTTAAGTGTAAACATTAACATGACAACAGTGTTATCTCCCCTGTTGTGATTTATCACTTTTTCCTTTGACATAACACTGAGTACATAAACTATACAAATTTGACTTTTCAACAATTTGTATTCTTTTGAAAACATTCTATCCAAGTGAATATCTAGTTCTTTATGATGTTAAATCTTCTTGCCACATACATGTATGATAACATTACAAAAGTACCTCCCCTTGGTGTAACTGTTACCATGACAAAAACATTTTAACTTCTCCTGGGTGTAAACATTACATGACAATAAAAAATACCAAACATGATACAATAACCTTTTTACTTCCCCTGCAACACATAACAAATCCTTGCCCTTTAACCAAACATGATAATTTAACCTTTTTATTACCCCTGCAACACATAACAAGTCCTTGCCCTTTAACCAAACATGATAATATAA